AGGGAAAATATAATGTAATATACAATAACATGCAAACGTCCGTAAAATGAATCAACATAACTCAATAATAACTGTAGACTGCAGAGTGATAATAAGAACGGGTGAGCTGAAAACTTTTAACTAACATCATTTGTTATTAATTATTAATTACTAATATTTGTTAATAAAAAAAATTTACCTCAATAACATTTATGAAAAACTCAGCAGAGCATAATATTAAAAAGTACACGGTAAGAGAGCTTGTACAAAATAAAATTTATATAAATTTAATTATTATTTTTATAATCTACATATGTAACATGTATGTCATTATGTGTTTGATTTAATTATATATGACATGTGATTAAATTATTAAATTGTTTGTTATAATTCTTGTTTTAGAACTTTGGGGATCAAAAGATTCTAAATGAATGAGTTGTCTTTAAGATAATTGTATTAAATTAATTCAGCTTAAAAAATAGTATATAAGATATTTATTAAGATGTGAACTTCGCAGGTTTAAGTTAAAAAAAATAGAGAGAAGTTTTCTAAAGCTCGAAAAAATTCTCTTTATCTTCTTTTATTGAAAACCTACATTCTTCCTTTCTTATTGTTGGAGATTTGAGCTTTTCGATCTTTTCGAATGATCGACTAGAGGTAAAGGAAGCTTTGTAGAATTGAATTATTGTTTTGAAATGTTTGTGTGTTTGTAGTCTGAATTCGTCATTTACATGATTGAATTGGTGAAAAATTATGAATTGAGAATCTTGTCAGAAAGGTGTTCTTGAGTGACTTTGAATGATCTTGTATTTCGTTGTTTTATATGTATTGTTTTAGGTTGTTTTGGTGATACTTATGATGTATATATGTTGTTTGTTGGATTGCATCCTGTACAAATTGGTTTGATTGCAGGTTTTGAGTCAAATTGTGATTTTGCTATGTGTAAAAATCATCATTGTGTCCAACATGTCTTCACGATGTTAGACGTGACTCAAATCAGTGATCCTCTATCTCACTTACGACAGGTGCAAGATTGATGATATCAAACATGAGAAGAGAAAAAAGTCTCTAACTTGACCACGTCATACATGGTTTAAATGGGGACATGAGTGAGTTAAGATAGTTGTTTATAACTTGGTAATGTTGGCTCTTGAGTTGTGTGACACCCAACGTGACCAAAAGAAAGCTCTTTGCCTGAGTGATGTTAGACACCAATAAAGTGACGCTAGGCGTTTGGAGAGAGAACCATCTCTATCTAAGATGGGACTGGATGTGGATTTTGGTGCATCATACATGAGAGACTTAGAAGCTCCCTACCTCATCCATGTTGAGCACATGTAAATTGTTGTCAGGTGTGGGTGAGACAGAAAAGTCTCTTATTTCAATAGCATCATACGCGTAAAAAATAGTGTCAGACATGAGTTATATGATGAAACTTAGTGATATTTGACTTAATCTTAAAGGCCATATGAAGTGTGATGTTGTCTTACTGACCATATGATGCTGTACAATTTGTGATTCATTATGCATTGATATAGGACCATGCATAATGAGGTGTTGAGATGATGAATAAATTGAGTTGATTAAGTTGTTTAAACATGTGAGATTATGATGCATGATTTTAGTCAAATTTGTGTTGATAATTGATTTGGTGTTGATTAAGTTTCCTAGACACGGAGATTTTGTGATACATGTCTCTATTGAGATGCATAAAAGACTAGTAGAAAAAAAAAATATTTTTAAAAGTTTTCATTTCCCATTATGTGAATATAAATTGTGACGCTTAAAGAGACCAAAGTTTAAAACCTTTAATAAATGAGATGATCAATTTTTTAAAGACATTTCTTATAAGATTTATGTGAAATAATATGGAAGTTTGATCAATTTATATTGTGATTGAAATGACTTATTGAGTAAAGTTTATAATAAATTATTATTAATGTTCTAAAAACAAAACAAGTATAATTTATTATATGGTAACAAATTTGAGGTCTATTACAACATTCATATTCCAAAATGAATAATTTTAATGAATAAAAAATATTTAAAAAACCACTAAAAAAACATTAAAAAAAAACTAACTAATTTTAACTATTTTATAACTCCACTAAACATATTAAATTATTAATTAACCTTTTATAACTTCACTAAACATATCAAATTATTAATTAACCTTGATTAACTATTAAAACTTATTAATTTAATAAATTATTACGTGTTTGATTCATTTTAATTATGAAAAACATTTTATATGAATGTTAATTGTTTTTTAATGTGATTGTGACTAAATAATATTTTTTTGGTATAATTCGTGAATTTATTATTCATGTAAAATTGTATCACTTTCTTAATATATATTGTTATTTAATTGCAATCATATTATAACATTTTTTTTCTAGAAAATTAATAAAGTTATCACATATTTATAACTGTGATAAAATAATAATACAATGGGAGTTGCTTATAAATAACTCTCATCTACATGAAATGGGTTCCACTATGTCACATCACTCATAAGCAATTCATATTATATTTTTACAATTTTTGTTCTAATGGGAGTTGTTTATAAACACCTCAACTATTTTGACAACTCATACTTCATTTTTTGATAAATTAAAAAAATTTAATTATTATGGATAACATATAAATATGAATAATTAAAAAAAATACACAAGCATTATAATGCATTAAGAAATATTAAATATTAAAAAGAAAAAATAACATAATAAAAAGAAATGTGACAATAAAAAGAAATTATATAATAAATATGCACTAAATAAATACCACAGACCCTGTAGCATATACTTTTCCTTTAAAAGTGTGTTATATAGCTTGTGCGTAGACTGAATTTAGAAAGAAGCAGATATTAAATTATTTTTTTATTCCTAAGCAACTGTGTCTTATATAATGAACGATGCTTAAATTTCAAGTACTCACACTGCCATGTCAGCATACTCCAATGCAGCTTTTTTTATAAACAATGAGAGCTTAAACTTAAGAACTAACTAAAAACCTACCGTTAAAGATGTTCTAATGTATAATAACCTATTTTTTCTAATATAAAATTAAAATCATAGAAATAAAAATAAATTATAAAAATATGTGTATCGAGGATTGAACACTACATACAAATTTTCTTTTTCATAAGGATCCCTTATGATAAAAAAAATCGTATTTTATAAATATGATTTTAAATTTTCAAAAATAAAAAATAAGATTTTAAGTGAAAGATGACTTATCCTATTTTAAAATCTAGCTATTTAAAAAATTGAGGTAATCACCTATATATTATCAGTGTAAAATTTTTTTACATTGGTAATCAATCATATTTATTAATAGTATAATGTCATCTGCTTATTTAATAAAATAAAATAATTTAAAAGATATGATTGATTGTTAATGTAAAAAACTTTATACTGGCAGTGTATAAGTGATTAACTCAAAAAAATTTGTTTCCTTATGCTAAAAATTAAAAAGAGTTAATTATCTATACACTGCTAGTGTAAATTTTTTTAATAGTATCATGTCATTTGCTTATTTAATTAAATTAAAATAAAAAAAAGTATTATTAATAGATCTGATTGATTATTAATATAAAAAAACTTTACACTGACAGTGAATAAGAGTTAAGAGAGTAACTCTGATTAAAACACTAATAACCAATCAGATTTGTTAATAGTATCATGTCATTTGTTTATTTAATTAAATTAAAATAAAAAAAAAGTATTATTAATAAGGAAAATCTCAAATACAACGTGGTTTTGATTTACCTGGTTGCTGGTATACCATGGAGTCCAATCTTCAACAATCCCAAGTCCCAACTTTCTAAGAGTGTATCTTGTTGAAGTTACGGGAATTCTTCCATCGGTATCTCCACTATATTCAAAAATAAATAAAGTAACGAAGAATTAAATAGATTAAAACAGAACAGAAAAGAGTATATATTATTATCAATATTTATATAATAGTCTTAAACTCTCAATAATAAAAATATTAAAATATCTTTAAAATATTTCAAAGGACAATATATACTAACTAAATATAATTTTAATATTTTAATAATTTAAAATTCTAAATATACAATCAAATATTAAAATCTTAATGTCTTAAAAGTTAATTAATAAAAGATTTGCAAGTTAGCCTACGAACTTGTAATAACTCCGACAAATTTGTAAATTTCATAAATTGAACTAAAAAATTAAATATAATTATACAAATTTTTTTAAAAAAATATTTGTTATCCACAGCATTCACAGGTTTATTGAATCAGTCTGCAAACCTAAATCCATCTACACTGGTTGACGAACTTATATGATGAATAAAAAATGAAGTGACTAGTGTAAGTGGAACCTATTAGTGTTCCTACTGTTATATCAATATGTGACGATTTTAAAATTTTGTGAAAAATTTCATTTATATATGTTAAGATTAGTACCTGAGAAATAAAATTAATGATTTTAGATGTTCAAAGAATGAAAGTCAAATAAAAATATTCAACAAGAATCAAAACCAACATTTATTTATTTTAAAGGATAAAAATAACAATTTTAAATTTAAAATAATGAGAAAAAAAAAGTTATAAAATCAAAATCAGAACTCTTGCACTTTATAATAGTCGTTAAAATTTTCAAATGTAAAATAGGAATATTTGTTTCATTCTATTACAAATTATACAAATAATAAAATTGCATTCTATTTTTCCATCAATCAAAACATAGCTTAAAAGAGAATTTATTAAATTGGTTGAGATGGTAATTTCTTATTTTCTAGGAAGTGTCGAACTAACTGCAGAGCTTGTTTGGGTGCGAAAGTAGGAACTTGATGACCAGCACCCCTGATGGTAACAAAGGTAAGCCCGTCGTAAACAATGGTCCATCCTCCCACCTGTCACACCCCAAAACATTATTCTTCATTCATAACTTTAAACTTAAATTGGAATAATTGAACACAAATTCAACCTATATTATATATGGATTAATGAAGATACAATGACATATTTGTTTTAGAATCCTATTTTAGACTTTTAGTACTATTTAAACAATGAAATTATGATTTTTTTACACTTTGAACAATTCAATTCCTTTAGAAAATAAAAATGGACCGTTTGGGTTTGAAGGAAAATCTCAAATACAACGTGGTTTTGATTTACCTGGTTGCTGGTATACCATGGAGTCCAATCTTCAACAATCCCAAGTCCCAACTTTCTAAGAGTGTATCTTGTTGAAGTTACGGGAATTCTTCCATCGGTATCTCCACTATATTCAAAAATAAATAAAGTAACGAAGAATTAAATAGATTAAAACAGAACAGAAAAGAGTATATATATCATATGATGCAAAACTTTACACTGACAGTGAATAAGAGTTAAGAGAGTAACTTTGATTAAAACAAAGGAACTCGGAATTATATAGACAAGAGCTTAAACCCTGTGCAATAGAATAGGGTTTATGCATCCCGGATAAGACCTTCCAATCCAAGGAACCCTCGGCTATGGCGGATTCCAAAGCAAATGCAAAGACGCAAAATCGTAAGCGTAAGCATGAAATCGACGCCCGACCTCAAAATCCTTCCAAACTGCACCGTTTGGATTCTGTTCTCAAACCTCAACGCCTTTCCCCTTCCTCTTGCTGGAACAACCTTCAACTCATACTCTGCATCCAAGACAAACACCATGATATTCCCAGGTTACTTTCTGCTTTTAGTCATTCTTTTTTATCTCGTATTAATGGATGCTGAGACATTTTTCTCTCTCTCTCTTTTCAATGAGTAGTAAGGTCAATCAAGCATTCGATTTTGTGCAGTCAAGGATGGATGATGGTGTTGGCTCTGATCAGGACCGTGAAGCTGTTAAACTGGCAAGACTGTTATGTTACCTTAATGATTGGATTTTGACATTGCTGTTCCCTCCAAATGGGAAGGAAAACTGGGGCAATGCGAAGACACCTCAACTCGAGGGAGTTGAGGCATATATGGATGTTCGTTGTTGGGAGATATTCAAGTTCTGCTTGGAGAAGTCTTTGAAGTTTCGCGTCTCTATGAATATGTCGCGGAACCTCCTACAAACTATCCAGTTTATTGCCAGGGATGCTCTGTCACTGCTGGAGGAATCCTCTGTAAGTTCGGGAGAACTTTATATATCTGATGAAAGGTATAAACTTTATGATACTGCTCTTGATTGTGTCTCGTTGGTATTCTCGTCTCATGGTGGGTTGTCAAGTGAAAACTTGGACTTGTGGGTTGAAACAACCAAGGTGGTGCTTGAACTTGTGCTGAACATGTATAGCAGTGACCTTGACGGCAGCAAGGTGGGCGCTTTTGCACTACGCTTTTTGTGTTTGGTGCTTCAGCCATTCTCTAAGTTTTTGATGGTCCATTCAGCTAGGAAAGGATTTCAAAATTTTGTGGATAAACTTCTTGAGCCGCTGTTGCAATTGTCAGGTGAGTTGCATCTTCGGGTTAGTGGAAGCAACCCCATTTGGACGCAGAGATTAATAAAGGAAGTGGAAGCAGTTCTTTCTCATGGGCTTTTTCAATTAGGCCATATTGATGTGTTTTTGAGCTTACATGGTTCAGAAACTATTAAGAGTTATCCTAGACATTTATTTGATGCACTGAACAAAATTATAGTTAGAAAGAATGCTATGGCAATGGGTAGCTTAGGTTTGTTATTTCATTTGTATGTTAATTCAGCAAGAAAATTTAAGGAAGCTCCAGTGCTTGAAGGGAGCAAGACAATGGAGAAAATGGTTGTTTCAAGGCAACCAGCGCCAGAAGAACAACGTAGCTCAAATAACACTTCTGCTGACATTCAAAATTCACTTTTTAATTTTTTTGTACTGATTATGGAACCCCTTTTGCTGAAGATTAATGCCTATATTCAAGTTGAAGTAGATGCCAAATCCCTGTTGTTGGATCTTCGTGGTTTACTCAAGTCTATTGGTAATTTGCTTGCCAGTTTTATGCAAGATAAAGTTTATGTGAGAACAGAGGACACGTCTGGAGGAGCTTGTCTAAATTTCCTGAAGAAAATATTTAATACACTGATAACTGGTTCCACTAGTGTATTCTACTTGTCCAACTATGATACAACCAACAAGATGGAGATATTGAGTTTGTCTGCTAATGAGATTCTAGTTGCTATGGGATATCTTTTGGAAATTGAATACGAGGTTATTGGAGAAGATTTGGTAAATTTATGGCTTCTTATATTGGCATGCTCTACCATCAATTGCAATTTTGATCGATGCTCATTATCTTCCACTATACATGCCCTGGGGTGCCAAATAATCAATCTCTACTGTCAACTTCGCCAGGTTCTTATGAAAATTTCTGATTACTGCTCATTTATATTGTATTTTTTTATCCCGGATCCCAATAGAGCAAATTATGTTTTAGCAGTTTTGCATGGTTTCTGTTTGTGTCTTAGTTACATGTTGTAATTCCAGGTATGTTTGTTTGGCAAAGGGAAGGGGAATGATGCTTTGGGTGAGGGGAAGTCTTTCAAAAAATTGTTATATTCTTGGTTTGATTCAGCTTATGTTGTGTTTGTCTGCTTCTAATCCCCTTTTGTTTTTCAAACTTAGATGGATATCATGCTTTTTCTTACGTATTTGAAATGATGTAGGTGGAAATTGCTATTTTAGCACTGTGCAAAGCAATAAGGCTTACTATTTCTCACGAGCGTGATACTGAAGATAGTTCTTCTAGGTTCTTGACATTTCTGTCGAATGAACTTTATACTGAAGCAGTTGAAAGACTGTTATCTTCAAAAAAGTTCATCCATGCCATTTATAAAGGTGTTGGATCTATTCCAGAAGGGCAAGTGCGTGGGTGTGTTAGACAGATAACAGATGATATTTCAGAATCTCTCAGGTGGATGAAAGATTTCTGTCTGTTGGTTGATGGCAATAAATTGCAAATTTTTAATCTGCAAGTGGAACTCTTGGGTAGAGGGTTGTCTAGACTGTATTGTTTAGTTCTTGATTCAGTCACTATCACTGGCGGCAACAGCAGTCTTCTTGGAATTGCTGTAAAAGAACTTATGGCACTAATGCGTCCCTACTTGAGTATTCTAGTTGGACAACAGTCAGATACAATATGCAAGTTCTTTTCTTCTGTCATAGGAGAATCTGTTGATCAGGTGGTTAGAAAGCGAAAAGTTTTAAAGAAATTTGGTAGGTCCAGCCAATGGGTCCTTGTGTTCTTTTTTCAGTTGTTTGTGTCCTGCCGAAGCTTTTATAGGAAAGCAATCAGCCTTATGCCACCTGGTTTGTCAAAGAAGATGTCTGTGGAGGTGGAGGATTACACAACGTATTCTGCCTTTAAGTTAATGGAGAGGATCGATGAGATGGACATTGGTTATTTTTCTTGGATTGTTCAACCTTCTGCTTCCCTCCTTGTTGTTATGCAACTTATTTCTGACATATATCTTAAACATGGCTCAGATGATTCTTCCCCTTTGATCTATATATTTCAATCTATGGCTATTCAAAGGCTCATTGACTTGAATAAACAGGTTATACTGTTCAAGTATTTGCAAAAGAAGCGTTATAGATCAAAAATCGATGCACTTGAGGAAGAGGCAGCTGGACTTACTAATTTTATGATGGAAAATTTATCATGTGTGTATCAATCCCCAATCTTTGTTTCTGGTTACGTAACATGTGAAGATGTAGCTTCTGTGGCTTCTCAAAGCGACCAACGGGATCTAGGAGTTTATATTGCTAACAAAAAATCATTGCCAACAGTCATTTGGTCCAATCTTTGCAAAAATGTTGATATTTGGGGACACCATGCTTCAAAGAAGCAATTGAAAAAGTTCTTCTCACAGTTACTCCATACTTCCCTTCACTCTGTAACAAGTAGTTTTCAAGAGCCAGGTGTGCTAGAAATTGACGACTGTAAGCTGCTCAAGAGGGTCACTTTGTCACAAATATCATCAGAACTTCTACATGATTCACTTTTGTATGAACAAGAAGTAAGATCCTTTGATTATACACAATTTGTTATTACCCCCCACACAAATATGCTCATGAGCAAACTAATAAAGAATAGCATATTAATATTTGACTGTGTTATCTTCAGATTAGTTCAGCTTCCTATAAACATCTTTTATTTGTTTCTTAACTAATGCTCTAGTGTGATATTTTGGGTGAGAAAAAGCTTCATATATAGGTATTCATTTCATATTTTCGTTTTAGTTTGCCCGCAGGAATTTGGCCTCAATGTTTTGCCATGCTTTAGAGAAATCTGTGCTGCCGTTATTTAGTAATATTCCGTGTACTGACGTCAATCTTAAGTCATCGCCTAATTGGCTCGAGTTTTTAAGTGTTCTTGACAAGTCAGCAGTGCTTGTTGATGAAAATAAAGAGATTCTGGTTGATTGTTCTACAGTGGAAAGTTCAACCACTCATTCGTGTGACAAACTTCCTGTGGATATTGACAGAAAAGAAAAGACTTTCCCTCTCACCAACCAAAGTTTTAGGGATTGCCACCATTTGCTTGATCACTTATGTTGGATGCCAGATATAAATGCAAGATCATTTTCGCATCTTGTAACTTGTATTTTCAACCTTGAACGGTACACTCATCTCTCTGTTGGATATTACCTTATGGTCTTCTCTGTGTATGCGGATAAAAAAAGAACTTCTATTATAGAGAAGAGAAAATGTTCAACTAATGCTGAGATAAGATATCCTTTGAAAGAGAAGCTAAAGTAAAAGAGAGTGCCAAAGAGCTCAAAAATGTAAAAATGCCAAAGAAATGTCTTCTGTTTCTTAATAATATTATATATGGAAACTCCCAGGCCATTAACACAATCTGTTACCAATTTTTTAGGAACATGGAATAGAAAATAGAGAAAAGAAAAGAAAGATTTAATTTCTTGATTGAAAATGGATAGAAGCAGGGAAAAAATATATCTGCAAAAGGTTTTCCCCTTTCATAACTAAGTACTTGTTCAATTTGCAAATGCTAACAATTTAGAGTGTTTTTTCTTCCTTACATCCTCCTATTTTATCATCTAAATAACCCTCTATAACTAGCTACCTGACTAACTACTGTGACTATTCCTAACTAATTTTACCTTCCTGTTCCAACTCCCAACACAATCCCATGCCTTAATTATTAACATACATGTGTAGGTTTGGAGATAAGTCTTTTCGTTTTGAGCAGTTGATTCTATTTAAATAAAACAACAAAACTAAACTTATTACTGTTTTCAAATAATTTTACTAGGAAATTAGAGCCTAGAGGACATGAAATCAGTGCTGCTATAGTTGTGCTATATATTTTAAAACAAGAATGTGATCGAATGAAATTACAAAACATGAATAGGTTTTTATAAGCTGGACCAGGTTGGTTTTGGATTGGGTTGGGTTTTTTGCACACCCTATGCAAAACCATCTCTCTTTACTCAGAATTTTTCAAATTTGTTTATGATACACTCCTAGACCCTTGCTGAAGAGAAAGAAATTCAAATTGCTGTGAACCAGTGATAAAGATGTCTTAGAAACATTCTTTAGCTTTCCACTCCAAGGATTTGTCTGAAGTATAATTTGTGAAACGAAAAATTAATTCTCAGTTTCTGTCTGCTTAAATTTTGCAGGCTTCTTGTCAGTGCCCTGCTATATTTTCAGAGTTCAGTGTACCAGGATTATTATTGTGAGTATTTAAGATTGTTTGTATCTTGCCGGAAGGCATTAAGGTTTATAGTAAAGGGATTTTGTGAGAAGGCTGACACTACCCAATCCTCACCAAACTCAATTATTTCTGGAAATTCATTCCCTGTTTTGTGGATTTCAAAGTCATTATCTGTGGTGGTTGGTATTAAAGAGGCATTCTCAGCAAAAAGTATTATTCTATGTAAATCTCTGATGTTATCCTTAATGGATCACACATCATATGTCTTGTTTGACATAGGAAAATATCATATTGTTCATGTTTTTTACATTGGTCAAGAAGCTGAGATGCCTCACGAAGAGATCTCTAATCATGAGACTAGCCATAAAGAGAATCATTTGCTTCCATCTTCTGAGGACTCCCCCAAGCTTGAGGCATTGAAATGTTTAACCTTTATTTCTGAGAATTTGAAAGAGCAGGTACAAAGCTTGCTTGTTTCTGTTCACAATACCCCTCGTGATGTCAGTGTGGGATTTGGTCTGTCTTATGAAAACATTGACAGATTGTCCTCTTCCGTTTCTTGCTTTGGTGGAGTTTTGTGGGGTCTCACATCTTACATGGGCCAAATAGATTCAAAAGAATGTGATAAGAAAGAAAAAGTGTTGATGTGGAAAAGTGAACATGCCTTTGAACTAGATAGTTGTATTTCTTCTCTTGTGGAACTTACTGATTTGTTGGTAAACAAATTGCTTTTTGAGAGTAATCAACTCTCCAAAAGTTCACACAATAAATGCTTTGTTTCTCAGGCTAATGCATCAGCTGTCACACAACAAGAATCTAAAGCTGCAGCTACTTGCTTCACTTCATCAGCAATTGATAATGTCTCCAAAAGTGCCAGTGATCTCGAAAGAATGTTAAATCCAGAAAGTGAAACTTCTGTTGCCAGGGTTTTGGCTAGCTTGGATTCCACTGAGCCACAGGGTCTTAATAAACCGTTGTTGCAAAGCTTGGTAAAAGGTGATCATCCTGAAATAGCTTTTTCACTAAGACAACTGTTAATTGCTTCCTCATCTCTTTTGAGGCTAAATTTGAAGAAGGGTGATTGTTTCTATCCTTCAAGTTCTGTACCTACTCTAATTGAAGTTTCACAAGTCCTGTTATTAGAATATATAGAGATGGTTGTGGTCCCACAACAGTCTGCTTTTCTTTTGTTAAATGGTGCTCTCAGCTATCTAAGAGAATTGGCAGGTTATTTTCCTTTCACTGATCCTTCCTCCTCTATAAAAATTTACACAAAATTGATACAGATTCAGATGAGGGCTATAGGCAAGACCATTTTGTTGCAAGGAAAAAGGGCAACACTAACCTATCATGAAAGACAGTCAACTACCGAATCACTTCATTATAAAGGATCAGTTGAAGCTTATTCTCCTTCTGAATTGCACTGCTTTTCCTTGGATGTATTTAAAACTAGACTGCAGATGTTGTTCAAGGCATATATAGAGGGGCAATCAGAGCTGCATCTTTTGTCAATTATACAGGCCATTGAAAGATCTCTTGTTGGTGTTCAAGAAGGATGTACTATGATCTATAATGTAAAAACAAGTAAAGATGGGGGGGATATATCATCACTTGTAGCAGCTGGCATTGATTGCTTCGACATGATTCTTGATTTTGTTTCAGGTAATAAGCTGTTGAAAGCACATACCATTGCTATTTTGTACAAAGTTTTCATTTCATTGTTTAATTAAAAAATATGCAAATTATATCCTTTTGATTGTATCCTTTTTTATTCATGCTTAAAGTTAGTACATCAATACTATATTTTGATTCACTTCAGAAATTTTGTAAAATGCAATTAATATTAACTGAAAAAGTTGTTACAGTTTTATTATAGTTTTTATTCAGAAAACATCTCTTCACACTTCTGCTTATGAAAGTCATTTGTGGATTCTGGGTGATATATTTTTGAATAATTATTATTATGGGTCTCAATCTGATGGAGATGTAGATTTGGGAAATGTGGCTTGCTTACATTAGGGTATGCTGTGCAGTGAATTTATACAAACTCATGCACAATTATTATCATCAGTAAGTTTGTTCTATGTCATGTCCTGTTGTTTTCTAAAAGAAAGCTGATGTGAGTCAGTTCCTTCATACATGTTCACTGATATATTATCTTGGCATTACTTTTTGGGAATCATAGCATTTCCTGTTACCTCTTTATAATGATGGCCACATTTCCTATGGGATAATCCTTGAGTAAACCTAAATCCACAAATAGATGGAATATCAAATCGACACTGATTACATTTGATTGAAAGCTACTACAGTATATTCTACTAATACATTGCATGTTTTTGATAAAATCAATGGAAAATGTTGAATGAAAAAATGCATACATATTATCATTATTCTTTGACAACTTTTTCCCTTTTTAAGGTCGGAAAGGCTTGAAGATGATTAAAAGACACTGTCAGAGTTTAGTAGCTGCAGTTTTCAACATTATATTACATTTACAAAGCCCGCTTATTTTTTATGATAACTTGGCATCTGGAACAGTTGCCAGTACACCTGATCCTGGGGCAGCCATTCTCATGTGTGTTAAAGTACTGGTGACAGTTTCAAGAAAACAGGCTATATTCCAAACGGATGTTTGGCATGTGGGTCACTTGTTACATATCCCTGCATCACTCTTTCAGAATTTCCATCAGCTTAGAGTTACTAAAGCCTCTGGTCCATCAGAAGCATTGGAGATTTCAAAAGAGTGTATTTGTGATCCAGTAGAGAGAGTGAATTTCTGTCATCTAGATCATCATTACTCAGTTAACCTATTTGTTGTGTGTTGTCAACTATTGTGTACCATTATTAGGAATCGTCCAAGGTATGTTTCATTTTTTATCTTTTATATCACTGAATAAAGTACAAGTTCACATATTGAACGGCTACAAATGGCAAATTTGCTATGGAATATATATTTGATGTATTTTGATAGCATCTGTGTGCAATCTGCTAAGTTGTTTTGTAATCCTGACATTTGGAAGTTACTATGCCCGATCTTTAATCACATCTTGTGCATTTTGCTTCTTTTATATTCTTTTCAGTGAGTGCAAACAGTGTGTTGCCCATCTTGGAGCTTCTGTTGCCGTTCTTCTTAATTGCTTGGAGACAGTTTTAGACAATGAATCATTAATGAATAAAGGTTGCTTTTCTTCCGAAGAAGGGGTGAAATGTGCTTGTTTTCTTCGAAGGATTTATGAAGAGGTTTGTGACATCCATATTAGTGTGTATGCCAATTCTAAACATAAAGACATTAGCATCTATTGCACAGCATCAGCATGTTAGTAATTTTCTTCCTCTAAATTATTTCATTTGCCCTGCTTTTTCAAAGCCAAAGTTTATTTTATGTGTAAATTGCTTTCTGTTAATATTAACGAAGGATAGAGTTAGCAGGATATCAGGGGGGGTCAAATTTTAAATCATTTTGTCCAAGTATATGATAAGAATCTCGAGAGAACTACACTGCAATAGTTAGCCATTGTATTTGCAGAACTCAAATAAGCTCCACACTAGAATCCCATACTTCCAATGTGGGACTCAAGTGCCATACCTTGCAATTGGATCTTAACATGATATTTCCTAATTTTGAATTTGATTCTGTTATTGATAAGGTCTTTTGCTGCCTTTTGCAAAAGGTGTAGTGAGTAGACTAATTGTGATAAAATTGGATTTAGATATGGATGCCAGTGCCTAGCTTCACATTGCATGAAAGATCCCATTATCATTTCATTGAAATTAAACATTTTTTTTGGTTTAAGAAAAAACGAAAAGAAATAAATCATGGCCTTAATTTAACAAATCACACGCACTCATATTTCTTACATTTGAAAGGTTATCCTTTTGCTTACCTTTTTTGTTTTTTTTTAATCATGGTGCAGATAAAAGAGAAAAAAGATATCTTTGGTCGACAGTGTTCTCTGTTTTTATCCGATTACATATGGGTTTATTCAGGATATGGTCCCAAGAAAAGTGGCATCAGAAGGTTTTATACGTCTGTTTCATTATTTACTCATTTCATTTTTGTCAAAGATTACATTTCCATCACATAACAGTCCCCTTTTCTGTTTTTCACTTTCATTAAGCTTTGTCCATGTCAAAATACCTAGACCAGGTCATCTATATAAAGTCTCTCTTGCTCATATTTTGAACTGAATAACAATTAGAAAGTGTTAATATAGATGAAATTTGGTAGGCTGAGCAGACTGGTTTAGAAAAGTGTTGCCGGTGATATTTACCATTAGCAAATATTAATTATTGCATCATTATTTGCAGAGAAGTAGATGAAGCTCTAAGACCAGGTGTCTATGCTTTAATAGATGCTTGCACAGTTGATGATCTTCAATATCTTCATACTGTTTTTGGAGGTAAGTAATATTGACTCAATCTGATTTTATGTAAGGAATTAAATCAAGAATCTAATTTCAATTTATTTTATGTAGAGGGACCTTGCAGAAGTACCCTGGCAAGTCTTCAGCATGATTACAAACTCAATTTCAAATATGAAGGAAAAGTTTGATCCTGAAATTCTGTTTGTGGTAACTTTTTGTGCACTCATTCTATTTCTCCTTATAGCCCATATAACTCTTTCCACTGAGATCATCGTTTTAAGGGATTTAAAATAATACATACTAAAATATCTTGTTTGGTTGCTCTTTCTGTTTAACTGAAAACGTGGGATTTAAAATTACACCTAGTCTTTGAAAATTCCTCATTTGCTCCGTTCACTTAATAACCCTGACCTTACTGTGTGTCTATAGCTTCATCTTCATCCTTGCAAAGTGTGAATTTTTCATTCAGGTTCATTTCTTTATTCCGTATCTTTTTTTTTTCCCCTGCTTATTGATTCAATTTTCCGGTTGTGGATCTGATTTCCTAGCTCTAGATCCTATGACATTTGTGTATCTATGTTTTTATACAAGATTTTCTCAATGGGTCCTTTAGTTTAACCTTAAAAAAAAGTATTTCTAAACTGGTGCTTTTAAAAAAAAATGCAATTCTTTAAGAAAGAGTCACTTTAAAAAAATTGAAATCATAGTAGTCAATCTCGGATAGCGGCGCGGAGCGGCCGACCCTAAAACTGGGATAGCGGGATGACGCGGAGCGGGATAACCGCTATTTAAATATTAATTTATATATATTAAATAATTAATAATATATATATAAAAGCTAAAAAAACAAAAATAATTAATAATATATATATATAGAATCAGAAATTAAAAAAAATATGCTGCTGAAATAGAAATAGAATTTTCTGAAATTAAAAATAAAATTTTCTGAATTAAATTTAATCAGAAATTAAAAATAAAATTTGCTGAATTAAATTTAATCAGAAATTAAAAATAAAATTTTCTGAATTAAATTTAATCAGAAATTAAAAATAAATTTTTCTGAATTAAATTTAATTAGAAATTAAAAATTAAATTTGCTGAATTAAATTTAATCAGAATTTAAAAATAAAATTTGTTGAATTAAATTTAATCAGAATTTAAAAATAAAATTTGTTCAATTAAATTTAATCAGAAATTAAAAAAAAATCAGTTGAAATAATTTAATAAATAATTAAAAAAAAA